TCACCACGTCACTTTTATAACTATCAGGTTTTTTTCAGGTATCCTTTTTAAGTATGTGGGGTTTGGGGTTTTTTCATTTTGTTTCTGACACTGTGAGATGAAGGTAAAACACGGTCCAATTCCTTCTTGAAATGATGGTTCGAGATCCTGAGGGCCTGTGCTGCTTCAGCACTCACCTGCAGGAAAGGGAAGGCTGCAATTCTGCTGCTGAGGGTATCTTTTGAAGGAAAAGGTCTGTCATCCCAGAGCTAGTAGGTATAAAGTATTACAGTTCCCATTGCACAAAACAGCAGCCTTTTTACGAGCAGACATTCTCCAAGCCATAAAACCCGTGCATGTTTCCGTCCTCTGTTAAATGTGTCTCTAGATCTATCCAGGGAACAACTGCTTTTCCAGTTTATTTGTACGGGTGGAGTTGAGGAACACATTTAATGTTTGTTGCACAATCCCCTGCTATTCAGACTTATGGATTGCTCTTTCCCTACTGCTCCCAGTGCACTGCAGCCCTGGCCACATCCGTCCCAGCATGGAGCTGAGTGAGCCAACCCCAAAACATGCTCTGATGGTACAAGGTATTGCCTGGTTGCATTTCCTCTACTCACCATCTTTATTCCAGTGGTGCCTGTGAATTCAGCAGGGAACAGGGTTTTTTTTCTGTGTCACCTGTTGGGACTCAGTGCTGCCCAGCTGTCCCCACTTGGTACCTGCAGAGTGTTGGTTGCCAAAGGAAAACCCACTCCAGGAGCAAGCTGGCAAAGATGTAATGGGGATGATGGCAGGTAGAGTTCATGCCTGTGCCATAACCCTAACTGGTTTTCCAGTATAAGTGTAGGTAAATTCCTTGGAGAATCAGATAAGGAAGATAAAAGCCTAACACAGAATAAATGCAGGAGACCCCCCTACACTCCTAGATGAATGGTTTTAGTGCTTCTGTGTTTGGATATAAAGTAGAAATACTTCTAGTTTTCTATGGTTTTTATGGGCACTTAGATCAGCCAAATTGTTCTGTACTTGCTGAATATTTTTTTCTTGGAAAATTCCTAGTGTTAACTAAAAATTGATCTCCTCTTTGTGACTAAACCTTTCAGCAAAGGTGGACAGAGTTTGTGGTCTGCCTTAGCTAAACAATACTGTGTCATATTAATCCCATGTGAATTTTTTGCACACATGATCATGTTACAACCAAGGACTAAATTTTCATCAAATGAACAGGTAGAACTTCTCTAAATTTAATAGTTTTTGGTATTTTACTTTTTTATCCTGATATAGTGGCAAATAAATTATAGAATTATCCACCTCACCACCTCTGCATTTTCCTGCCCCAGAAAAGAAAGTTATACTAATGGAAAAGGGATGTTGAGGTTTGTTTGGTGCTAGAAAACAGTAACAGAAAAAATGAATGCTATGGAACTTCAAGTTGTAGACTTCAAAGAGAACACACCTGTTATGCTTTACTAGCTGGATCCTGTGTTCTAGACAATAAGTCTAGTCCCTAGACAATAAGTTAATTTCCTAGGAATTAATAACTCCTTATTATGATTGGTTAGCTACAAAAATCTGAAAAGTTTGACCTCTGCTGTAAGTATAGGCACTGTCATGTCTCAGCACTTGGGGGTAACAAGCTGAGCATCATTAATCCATCCTTTGGAAGATCTTCTTTGTAGATAAGGCTTTGATCCACAACATTCTCCTTGAGATAAGAGGGAGTGCCTGAGTCTCTGCACAGTCACAGCCAGCTGCTGGTTTGATGTTGCCTGTGCTTGGGAGTGGAAACAACCACTCAGGTGAACAGTGCAATGAAAACAGTCCATTAAGTGGTGGAGTTACATCATGTCTGGGGAGCTCAAAGAACAGAAACTGCAGCCGTGCAATGTAGGGAGTACACTTGAGTAAAGACCTTACTGGGGCTCCTGTCATGCCTTACCAATACTAAGATTTATTGTATTTCAAGGGCTTTGTTGTGATCTCTTTAGGTTAAGAGTTTCCTTTCATGTGTCAGATGTTCCTGTTAATGTCAAAGTTAGTTGTCATGGTAATTTTTAAATGGTTTAATGGGCTTTTAAAGTCTTCTAGAGTTTAAATCATACTGTACTGTATTGGGTTTGCACGGCAAGGTTTTTGTGGAGAAGGCTACAGGGTGAGAAGATACCAGAAGCTTCCTCTACATCCAACAAAGCCAATGCCAGCCAGCTCCGAGATAACCTGCTACCGGTCAAGGCTGAGCCCATCAGAAACATCATCCCATAACTCTCCATCTTCACAAAACCCTTTTGTATTTTCCAAAGGTAACTATAGCTGAAATAGCAGTGGGAAGGGGATATGTTTTCTCTGCTTTGTGCTAACATACACTAGTTTTTGGAAAAGTACTCCCCAAAACCTGCAAAAGAATTCTACAACGTCCACTCTGTGGTCAGCACTGTTTGTCTGGGCAGAGGTATAGAATGTGTCATTCTGGATTAATTGCATGTAACATGTAAAACTTTTACTACATTCACCTCTACAAAAAAAGAGGATTTCTCTTTCTTTCAGTATCTAGAGTCTCACCTGAAATTGGTAAATATTAGTTGACTTCTATCAGCTGTGGGAATGAAGCCTTTCCCACTCTGTTAATGTAGGTGCCTCAGGTATTTCACAATGCCTGTGGAAGGCAGCCACTTCATCAGTAGCCCAATGTTTTCATTGCAGAATGACAGCAATAATAGCAGGAGGTGAAAATTACACTGTGAGACTTCTAAGCTCTATTAGCTAATAGGGGTGTCTAAACTCTTTGCTCTAACTTATTCTGGAACGTGCAGTAACAGGTAATATAGCCCTATAATGCTTAGATAAATGGCTTCTTTGCTAACCCAGGCACTGACATTACTGTGGTTGTATTTCCACAGCACCTGGGTAGGCAACTATGCAGCACGCTCTATGTTTGTTGGGCTTTCAGCCTGGATTATCACAAAGAGTTTTAAACAGAGTCAGCCAATCCGTTCATTTTACCTTTCGTTAAACTTACCTCTTTTTTTCTGGGATGTAGAGGTTGACAGAACAGATAAATAGAGTATTTACAGTAATCCTGGAGTCAAGAACATGAAAAAACTGAAAGAAGAAGGGGTTGGTAGGAAAAGCTAACATCTCTAATTAGATCAACAGAAAAAACCCACAGTGTTCTAGCACAGAAGTCCTCATTATTTGGCAACAGAGACTTACAGTCCCTACAATTGTCTAAGCTCTATCAGATGGTGTAATAAAAGGCTTTATTGCTCCCTACGAATGCCAGGTCTCTTATATAGGAATTGTCCCACTACACTGCATATCCAGTCATAAACATTATATATCCTTCCCCCTAGCACAGCAAACCATGACTTGAAATAAAATCCTGTCTGACATCTTCCTGCTCTTCTACACTATCTCCTCTGGGGCTAAGCTCTAACCACATACACTTACTAATTGTAAGCAAGTGGATAACAGTTTCAAAGCTAAGGCTGCACGATACTACTTGCTTGCTGCTGGGAAGTGTAATTTCAAAAGCCAGACCCTTGGATCACCTGGCACTTCTGCTAGACCAATCCATGCAACTGAGCTTGTTATTGGTTCCAGTAACTACAGTCCATTCCCTGCTTCTGCTCCTTTTCTGGTCATCTTTCTTTCTGATATATTACCATGGAAACAAATCTTGAAAAAAGAAATATTCACAAGCAGGTGGGTTTGTTTTTAGATACCATCTCTTCAGTTTTCACCTTTACAGCACTGCTCCTGTTGGGGGGATTCTCTTTCTCCAGCTACCACTAGATGGTATTGCTTCAGCAGGCACCTTCCCACCTGCTCTGCACCCTTGCTGAGACACAGACCACCAAAAAAGCAGGGGCTGGCTTTATTTTTTATATTCTTCAAGCGTCTCCTGGTAAATGTTGTTGAGGACAATGTCTTAGAAAAGCAGATATTTAGTCTTGGAATTGACAGCTTCTTGTGCTTGCAGCACAGTTTCTGCTTAAGGGCAAGTTTTATATTTGCTCTATAATCCAGAAGGTAAGATAGGTCTGTAGTCTGCCTGAAATTTCAGAATTCAGGTATCAAACCTGAAGCAAACAGACAAAACTTTGTATACTCCGAGTCTTTTAAATAACTAACATGAAAATGTGAATGAAAAGCTTATTTTTCTCTCAGAGTTGCAAAATTTTTCTAATAGTTTTGTATTTCCTTTCTGTGCTCACAAAAGAAAAGCAGTTACATACAGGAAGTCATTCAGCAAAATCATTATAAGTCTAGTAGATGAAAGCATTAGTGTGATAAGATATGAAGTAATTTTATATTAAAAGTTAATGACTTGGACTGTTCAGCCTTAGGAGATTCACTACTTTCTAATCCTTTATGCGCATCTTTATGGTAAGTTTATACAATGTGAAACTTATTCCACTTTTATGTTTCCATGTTTTGTCCTTTTCTTATTAAAATGACTTATGTCGTTATTTTTCCTACTGGAGAAACAAACAGGAAAGTCAAACCAGAAATGGAAAGAACATCATCTAGCGATTAAATGTTCTCCACATCCACATTCATACTTTTATAATCATACGATTTATATCTTAACTATAACTTAACTTCACTGATTTTTTTGATGAATTATTTTTATTCATTGAGAAATAAACTCAATTCACTGAGCAGGAAGGAGTTGCCAGCCGAGCTACGTTCATTGCTGGGAAAAAAATGCTTCTAACAAAATTCACCTTCTTTCTCACATGTACTGGACAAAACATAATAAAAGGCCTCAGTATGCAGAATCAGAGGATAGAAAATGAGTGCTGAAGACAGTGTTGCTCCTTGCCTTCCACCTTTACACGCTACAGCTGCCAGTGCAATTTAGTGTCCCTTGCCTCTAACCCAGGCAGAAGAAACTCACTCTGAGTAAGGTCTGAGAGACAAGCACACAGCAGGAACCATCAAGAACAAAGTGCTTGTTTCCTGATCTTACTGATTGCAAGGAAAACAACCCTCTCGTATTTCTTCTCTTGCAGGGCAGCAGGATGCCATGCTGGCCCAGGAGGGAAAGAAGAGGCCACTGTGCTGTGCCATGTGCTGTGTGGCACTGCAGCAAGAAGCAGGGCAGAGGCCACCATGCCGGGCTGCAGGAATGCTGGATATCTGCACACTGCAGGAAAACATGAGGAAGGAGTCATGTGTGGAGTTAGTGACTCACACAATTAAGATTTGGCATGGCTGAGTGGGAAGATAGCAACATGGTTTTCCCATAAAAGGGGCAAATATGTTATTGCTGTGGTATATGAGATTTAATTAAATGGTAAGGTCAGTTCAACTGCTTCCAAAACTTTTGTTTGGAAGCTTGCAAGGCTTTGTTTCCTGCTAAAGCTGTTCATTGAGTATTACCAATTAGTTCCCCTGAAAATGAGATTGATTTCATAGCACGGACTGTAACACTCTGGGCTTCTGTTGAAAAGCTGTGTTCAAGTCCATTCCTTGGTGAGTATTTAAGTAGAGTAGCTTCAACAGGAACACGAATTAATAGCTTAAACAGAGTATCACCTTGGAAATGCTTACTGCCCACCAGGCTAGAGGAAAGTGAAATCTTGCCTGAGTCCTTAGTCTCTCATTTGCAGCACCTGTTAGTTATTACCTGTTTCTCTCAGATTTTGACCAGAAGATTTTTCTTTGTCTGGAGAAGGAATTTCAATTTAGTGCCAGGAGAGCAGGAAACCTTTAAATGAACAAACCCCCCTCCTAACAGGACAACATAGAGACGATTTGGAGTTTCCTTTTAGCAAATGCCTTAGCCCTGTGTTATTTCATTTATGGTGTTTTGCACTGGTGAGTTCATCAAAATGTGTCAGTTCCATGGGTTTTATTGGCTCCAAGACCCCTGCCATTTCCTGGCAAGCCTTGACCTTTACCCAAGACATCTGATGGCAATTTTGCCATGCACAGACACTCTCCCTCTCCCTCAAGGAAAGCACTGATACAGTGGCACTGATTGTGCTGCTGTTTCCAGCTGGCAGAGAACCTGCACAGGGTGGTTTTCTCTGTAGAGTCAACTCTGCCCAAGCCCAGCAGAAGCTGCTGCCATGGTCTAGACTCCAGGCTGCCCTCCATTGCTCCATCCCCTCTTCCCTCAGTCCCTCCATCTCTCCATCCCTCTGTCCCTGCATGCCTCCATCCTTCCATCCCTCCATCCCTTTGTCCCTCAGTCACTCGATCCCTTTGTCCCTCCATCCATCAATCCCTTCATGCCTCCATCCCTTTGTCCCTCCTTCCTTCTGTCTCTTCACCCCTATATAACTGTATCCCTGCCTCCCTCCATCCTTGCATCCCTTTGTCCCTCCATCTCTCCCTCCCTCCATCCCTGCATCTTTCCATCTCTCCATCCCTCAATTCCTTTGTCCCTTCACCCCTCCCTCCTTCCATCTTTCCATCTCTCCATCCCTCCATCCCTTCATCTCTCCATCCCTTTGTCCCTGCGTCCCTCCCTCCTTCCATCTTTCCATCTCTCCATCTGTCCATCCCTTCATTCCTCCATCCCTTCGTCCCTCCATCTTTCCATCCCTCCACCCCTGCATCCCTCCATCCCTTCATTCTGGCATCCCTCGATCCTTTTATCCCTCCATCCCTCCACTCCTCCCTCCATCTCTCCCCTTCCCGGCGGGGCCTCCCCGCTGCAGTTCCCACCTCCCACCGCTAGGCCGCGCCATCCCGGCGGTTGCTATGGCGACAGCGGCGCTGCCCCTCCGCGCAGGCGCAGTGGCTGCCGCAGGTGCCGAGGCCGCGGCGGGGCCGCCATGGAGCGGTTCGGGCCCGGGCCCGTGAGCGCCGTGCCCGTGGCCGAGTTCAGGCCGTGAGTGCCGGGGCCCGGGTAGGGGGAGGGCTCGGCGGCGGGACAGCCGGGCGGCGGGATGCGGGGAGGGTTGCGCACTAGGCCGCGGCGGGCGGGGAGCGCGCCCGGCACCGCCGGGAGGCCTCCTGGGGGAACCGGGGGAGAGCGTCCGCGGGGCGGGAGCGGCTGGTGGAGGGGCCGCAGCGGGAGGAGGAGGAGGAGGAGACCCCGGGTTTGCCTGGGCCCCACCGAAACCCAGCATGGAGGCTGCCGGGCCGCAGCGTACCGCTCCGAGCCGGGCTGAGCTCCGAGCCGGGCTGAGCTCCGAGCCGGACTGAGCTCCGAGCTAGGCTGAGTTTACACACGAATGTTTGTTTTTTGCTGCGTAGGGAAAGCGGTGAGAGTATGTCAGTGTAAGAAAAGTATTTGTCAGCAGTGGAGTTTTTAACTTTGGTAATAAGCTGGAGGTCATCTTACTCTTCAGTGGGTAAGTGCTGATAGAAGAGTTTCTGATTTCCGTAGGAAGATTTTGAGTGGAGTTGTGCTCGCCACTCCCGAGACCCCGAGGCAAACGCTATTAAAGGAGAAGATTCCGAATGCCCTTCGTTTTTTATGCTGCCTAAATGACCAGCACATGGCCAGCAGGAAGTGCTGTTGGCTGCAGTGTAGGAGCTGTGCGTGGCTGCACGTGACTGTCAGAGGATGAGAATTTTTTTCCCCGCTTCCACTTTTTTTCCAAAGAAATGTCAAGATTAAAACCGATTTCAAGCAGTATGCTATGGCACAGATGTGTCTCGATAAAACTTTTCGAAACTACTTACGCAAAAAGTGCTTTGAAGGTGCCTGGGAGTTTTAAGAATTATGTATCCCTGACTTGAGTTGGCTTTTGTGCATATTTGTGTTTCAAAGCCCTTAAGGACACATGCCCTTGAATCAGGTAGTCTTTGAAAGTCACAAGGATATTGCCTGGCTGATGTGTTTGCTTGAGCATAAAATGATGTGGTCAGCCAGGCAGAGTGAGTGAGAACTGGTGGAAGCACACACAAAACAAGCTCTGTGTGGTGTTTTGTAAACACAAAACCTGTTCTAGCAGATCAAGTCCGGGGAGACCTTACCAAGAACATAATCCTTCGTAGTGATTCTCTGGGTTTAAGTCTGTGAAGGCAAAAGAAGTTTTGGTGTATTGGCTCCATGTTCTGAGTGTTGCTACAGTTATTCCAGCTTTCTTAATGGAAGCTGATAACTTATTTTTAAGTAGAGGAACAATACACCCCAAAAAAGGAACTTTCAGTAGTTAACTGTTAAAATCATTCTGTGTACTTCCCTCTGTATCCCAGCCTGTAGAATTTATCATTTTTCTGGGCTTGTAGTTACTGAAAAAAAAAAATGAACTTGGCAAGTTTTAATGCAGAAAACTGTCATGTGACAAATGCACGTGTCTGATATTAGATATTTAATAATTATATGATAGTATACTGATAAATGTATTAACATAACTCCCCTAAGTTGTTAATGCTTGCAAAGCAGTAACAGGGAAAAAAAATCTAAAGATTGTTTTTAATCTTGTTTTTGAGCTCTGACTGGCAGAATTATTTTGAATACTCTCATTTTTATTGCAGCAAACATGCATATTCCAAGTATTTTGCTTCTAAACAACACATTTACTCAGTTCTTGAAAAGTAATTTGCTTTGGTTTGGGACAAGTTCTTGTCCTGTTTCAGGTGTGTATATTGTGACTTTCTTCTGTGTGTAACTTCTCTTATTTATTTCAGAAATGAGGGTTCATTAACATCAACTTTAAGAACGCTTCTGTTCTTCACAGCTCTAATGATTACATTACCAGTTGGGCTATATTTTTCATCAAAGGCTTATGTATTTGAAGGTAATTCTGCTTCTGCCAATTAGTATTATTATTACAAAAAAAGAGAAAAAAGCACAATCCTGTAATAGCATCTTTATTCTTCCTGTTTTGTTTCCTTCTGCAGACCAAAGGTTCCGTAATGTCTAATTAGAACAGAAAATTATATAAATGGTCAATGCATCTTTCCCTGCATTGTGATCTGCAATCCAGTGTTTGCTGTTTGTTATGCAGTGGCTTATATAGCACAGAGGTGCATTGTTCCCCTTACCTAAAGGGTATCTAACACCACCCTACAGCAGACTTTTGTCAGAATCATCAGGGATATGTTTCCTGCAGGTGTTGCAAACTAATCATGTGTTCAGGGCAGAATAATGTTGTTGGTGGGGTTTCTCTTTTACTTTTTAAAACATCTGTATTTATAAGTGTAAACAAGTTAACTCATATATGCAATTTCATATATTGTATGTGGTTGCTTGTAGAACTTTAATTTAAAAAAAAGAAGGAAGAAAAAAGAAGGAAGAGGGATTTTGTTTGTTTGAACAGCTAGCCATGTTGTAGTCTCGATTCTGCAAGGCTTTAATACTTTTCTCCTGCAGTACTAGGAAGTTATCTCCTTCAGAAGTGGGGAGGAGGGAGGGAGAAGGCAGCTGCTTTTAGGAGCAGTTTGTGAGTATGAAACTGAGTTGTTCCAAGGCTGTTCTCTTTGGTGTGTACTGCTGTATGTAGTACAGAGAAGGCTCAAAGCTTGTTAAGTAACTTTCAAGATCCCTTTTAGCTTTTTTTTTTTTTTATCTGAAGTGTAGCAAGCTGAGCCTTAACTTCACTGTTAATGACAAGATCTGTCAGCACTGAAAGGATTGAGCTTGTCTTTGAAGGGTGGTATTTTTGGAGTGGTGTAATGTGTGGTTTTTGGTTTGCTCTTTGGGGAATTTTGTTGGGTTTTTCTTAAATTAATTAAAGGAAACAGTATTTCAGTGTTTGCTCTTCCGATATTTGAAGGCTTATTTCATATGAGATGTGTTCATGTAATTTAACTGGTGGGGAGTTGCTGTTTTATGGTCTAAATATAGAAGGTAACAGTCCTGTAAATGTAATTGTTCCACTGTTTTCTCCTGTTACAGTGGCAAATAAATTACAGAATTCTCCCCCTTCTTCCCTCCCTCCACCCCCTCATTTTCCTGCCCCATAAAGAGCATTAGGAAAAAAGGATGTTGAGGTTTATTTGGTGCTGGAAGATAGTAGCAGAAAATGTTGTAGATAAGCTGTTGACATTAAATCCAGGGTATTTTATCTTAAACATTGAACACTGCAGTGTTGCTTTGTTCCAGAAGTAGTTTCAGGGCCTTTGACTGTCACGGTGAATTCTTTCCTACGAACCATTTTGAGCTCAGTCTTTTGATACAGGAGCACTTGTAACTTTGGTCTTTAGGAAGAATTGTGACTTGCCATGTCAGAGTTCCTAATAACTGATATCCTTTGCTCTCTTTGTTTTCCCAGGTTCCTTAGGAATGTCCGACAGAGACAGCTATTTCTATGCTGCCATCGTGGCTGTAGTTACTGTTCACGTGGTACTTGCTCTCTTTGTTTATGTAGCGTGGAACGAGGGCTCGCGGCAGTGGCGGGAAGGCAAACAGGACTAGAACGAAGATCACGTCGTCTGGCGTCTACAGACTGTAAATCAAGGGGTTTTTTTGTGAGCTGAAGGAAAAGCATTCTTCAAAATGTGTAATACACGTGTACAAAAGGAGGCTGGTGCCTCAGCTGTGGTTGAAATAAGACTTGTGCTCATCTTGCCTGTGTACTCGTGTTTTCTGTGATGTTGATGGAAGTTGTTCTTTAGCCAGCCTCTGTTATGTCAGGCTGAGGAGGTCTTCACCTGCAATTAGAATGGAATAATTATATATTTTTGAAAACTCCTGTAGCTATTTTTGCCTCTGGCTTGCTCCGAAAATAACATTGGCATGAAGCAAGCATTACATTTTCAAGGAATTAAATTGCTAGTTAAAAAAGCT